TTTAGGTTATACCTTTAATTTGGCCACATGAGATACACAAAGGTAAACACAAACACAAACCTTAAAAGGTTGGAAGTTGAAGAAACAAAAACAGTGGTTAGTGGTCACATAGAAAGTACATAATTACTTGTGTTGTGAATTTGATGAAACTTTAAATTTAAAAATCTAATCAACTAAACTTATTCCTATTTTTCATTGTTTGACAAGTATCCATGTTTGCATACACTTTACGGATAAATAATGAATAAGCATGAATTTTTATGTCAAAAAAGGTTTAAAAAAACGCGATTCCCAAGATGCCAGAAAAGTCGTTTTCCTTGGGATTTAATAGTATGGGCTATACAATGATCGGATTTCACTTTTTTCTTTTTTTAAAGGGTCAATTTTTGTGATTTTCCTTTGACTGTTTAACAATACGCCAGTTTTCATGGACTGTAGCCTTTCAAGACAGCAGTTCTTTGTTAGAAGCCTGTTTTCTCAATTGAAACTGTATGATTTAGATTTTTTGTGATAGAATGATTTATTGATTAATTTGTCCGACTTAAAATTTTAAAAAATCATTCCTATTTTATACTGTATTTTATATAAAGTGTACTTCTACTTAGACAATAGATTTTTCATTATATTCCTTATTTCTTTTAAATATTGAAGTGTTTTTAACAAAACCCCACTAAGATATTTAAGTAAAGTCATATGCATAAAGAAATATTGTATTCACAGTCTCAAAATATAACGAAAATCTTTTCAAACATGAGCTTTTAACAAAACAAAAAAAGAAATACGACTCCCAAAATGTCATTTAGTTGCATGACCAGAAAAGTCGATTTCCTTGGCATTTAACAGCATTGACTATAAAATAAATTGTATTTTTACATTTTTTTGCAAAATTTTAGCAATTTTGTTTAGACAATTTAACAATATGCAAATTATCCTTGATGCTGGATCTTCAAAGCGGTAGTTCTTTGATAGAATCCTCTTTTCAATTGGAATTGTATTTTTGTAATGCTCGTATGATTAATTATAATTAGGTCGATGATTTATTGGTTCCTTTATCTACTTTAAATAGTACATTTATATCAGTACAAAGAGGACGATTAAAACATGACATTTTCTTTTCTGAAATTGAGGCTGGATTATTGCTTCACAATTGGCTTAAAGCTTCACGTAATAGGTGTAACGAATGATTAAAGATTCTGGAATAAGATGTGGATAAAGTTTTTTTATTTTTCTTTCAAATGTCGTCAGAACCTAATTCTCGGCCTTGTTACGCTCAAGTTCTGCAATAGCGCGATGGAGCGGTAAGCGAGACAAATGCAGTTTTCCTACAAGGAAAAAGAATCAAAGACGAAAGAAAAGGAAAACATAAATTCAACTAAGAAAGTTTTCTATTTTTCCTGGGCGATGGTGGCTGATCCGCCGGGCGATTCTATTAGGCCAAGGTTGGGCCGGGGATGATGAATTGTTTGCCGACAATGGGCCAGAAGAGCCCGGTCACAATCTCTTCTGTCGCTTTAATGCTGTCAACCTTCACACATTTCACCACGGCAAGGATAAGATTGTGAAAAAACGCGGAAATGGAAAATCGTGTACAATTTACATTTCTGATTATTCCGACGTCGGAAAATTCGCTTTATGTACTGAGGCAACGACATAATAATATATACTGGATAGCACAGAAATGACTGAACACAATTGACCAGGAAAAATGTTCATTTTTTACGTAACAGTATCTTCTAATCTTAAGATAATGGCACTACTTATAAAATTAAAAAATAGAAAGCATATTAAAAATCAACCGTATAAATAATAATTTGACTTCGGACGCCATAGAGACGTTAAAGATGCCATACCGTAAATCCTAAAATGAAAGGTACTATTTGACTTCCGGAAAAATAGAAATGAAAAGAGGAAAAAATGGCAACATATTTTGACTTTGGAAAGGATGAAAATTGAAAGATACCATATGGCAAATCCATTTTGTGAAAGTGAATATTTTGACTTTGGTTAACATAAAAATGGAAAGATGTAACAATAACAGTTTATTTTGACTTAAGGCACCTTAGAAACTTAAATATTGCCATGCAATCCGCTGCATAAAAATTATATGATACGACTTTGGGTAACATAGTATAGAAATGGACAGGCGCAACGATGACAGTATATTTTGACTTTGGGCACCTTAGACATTCAGTGATGTCACATGGTAAATCAACTTATTAGAAAGATGCAACACATATGTTGACTCTGCGGACGACAGTAGAACATTAAAGATGAAATATGGTAAATCAACCATATGAAAGATTGTATATTTTGACTTTGGGAACCTTAGTAACTTTAAAGATGCCATACTGTAAATCCACTATATTACAAAAATGCAAGGATAACGGTATTTTATTTTGGGGAGGATGGAAATTGAAAGATGCCATATGGTAAATCAGCTGTATTAGAAACATGCAGCAATCGCGGTATATGTTGACTATGCGGACAGTAGAAAATTAAAGATGAAATATGGTAAATCAATCATATGAAAGAATGTATATTTTGACTGGGAACCTTAGTAACTTTAAAGATGCTATACTGTAAATCCACTATATTAGAAAAATGCAACGATAACAGTATTTTGCCTTGGGTAGGATGGAAATTGAAAGATGCCATATGGTAAATTTACTATATGACAGATTGAATAGTTGGACTTTAGTTATCAAGGAACCTTAGAAGTTGAAATAAGCCGTAAATCCTCTTTATGAAAGAATGTACATTTTGACTGTGAGACCCTTAGAAATTGAAAGATGCCATATTGTAAATCCACTTTGTGAAAGTATATTTTGATTTTGGTTAACGTAGAGATGGAAAGATGTAACAATAACGGTTTATTTTGATTTTACGCACCCCAGAAACTTTAATGTTTCCGTACAGTGAATCCACCATAATAGAAAGATAGAACAAAACAGACTATTTTGACTTTGGGAAAGATGGAAATTGAAAGATGCCATATAGTAAATTCTCTTTAGAAAGGTCGCATATTTTGACTTTGGTTAATGTAGAAATTAAAAGAACCAACAATAACAGTTTTTTTGCCTTTAGAAACCTTAGAAACTTTAATGTTCACATACGTTAAATCCAACTATGAAAATCTACATAAATATATATTACTTTGGGTAACAGAAATGGAAAGGTGCAACATTGACAGTATGTTTTGAGTTTGGGCACCTTAGGACATTCAAAGATGCCTTCTGGTAAATCAGCTGTATTAGAAAAATGCAGCAATGGCAGTATATTTTGACTATGCAGACAGTAGAAAATTGAGATGACATTGGTAAATCCACAATATGAAAAATTGTATAATTTGACTTGGGAACCTTAATAGCTTTAAAGATGCCATGTGGTGAATGCACTGTATGAAATATCGTATCGTTGGTCTTTTTAGTTAACATAGAAATGTAAAGATGCAACAATGATGAAATTTTGACTTTAGGCACTTTACAAAATTAAAGAAGCCATTTGGTAAATCCATTGTATGAAAGATTGAATAATTTAAATTGGGTTCTCTTAGAAATTGAAAGATGCCATATGGTAAATCCACTATATGACAGATTGAATAATTGGACTCTGGCTAGCATGGAATTTTCTGAACCTTAAAAGTTGAAAAAAGCTGTATGGTGGTAAATCCATCTTATGAAAGATTTTATATTTTAACTTTGATTAACATAGAAATGGAACAATGCAACAAAAACAGTTTATTTTGACTTTATGCACCTTGGAAACTTTAATGCTGCCATACGGTGAATCCACTGTATTAGAAAGATGCAACGTAACAGTATATTTGGACTTTGGGAAAGATGGAAATTGAAAGATGCCATATGGTAAATCCACTTTATGAAAGGTTGCATATTTTTATTTTGGTTAACATAGAAATGGAAAGATGCAATAATCGCAATATATTTTAACTTAGAGAATCTTAGAAATTGAAACGAACCATATGGTAAATGAACTATTAGAAAATTGTGCATTTGGACTTCGGGCACCTTAGAAATTGAAAGAAGCAATATTGCAAATATACTATAAGATAAAATTTATACATGAACTTTGATACCTTAAATTAATCAATATAAACAAATCAACTATAGTAGAGACAATATACATTGTACATCTAAGAATCCTTGGATTATAATTTTTTAATGTAACACTGCTATTTATCTTCTAATCTTAAGTTAGAAATACTGAACATGATAGGAAATGAAGATCTTAACAACAAAAAGAAATAAAGTTAACTTGAAAATCCCATTCCATTCCACAAGAGATTAGGGCAATTTGAAAAATCAAAAATTTCTGAGGATGAGTTTATCCAACTGGATTTATTATTTATCATCTTTTACAATCTTCTAATTCAGTTTATAAATCAAATCATTATAAACAAATCTCCAAAATGCAAATAAAACAGAAATTATTCCTTGATTTCCCCTCACTTTCTGATGTTTAGGAAAAATATGGTTAATCCTCAACATATTTTTCATCTTCTCATTTCTTAAATCTGATTTAAATACACACACGCGCGCGCGCGGAGGGAGAGAGAGAGAGAGAGAGAGAGAGAGAGAGAGAGTGAGAGTAAAATTGACTTTAATTAACTAAAACATTCAAATCCTTACATTTTTATGTATTTATTTAGCAGTGACATTGATTATCTGAAAGTTAGACTGTTTGTTTAGCGAACATGCATACAACATTTAAGTAAATTAACATAATAGCAAATCAAGTGAATAGAGATGCTGTAAACATTATTATTTTGTTGGAAAAGTTATTTTTATGTCTTTAATGTAAAATTTAATCATTATGCAGAAGTGCAAAATTATATAAAATGGTATATCAAATCAATAATCAAAACCACCTTGTAAGTTGTACTGCCTACTGTAGGATTGAAACTGCACCTCATTTTAAGAAGAAAAATATCTTTCATATAAAAACTGGAAAGAGAATGAGATTTTAAATAAAATTATTTTCAGGTGTGGCTGGCTATGACAGCCAGTTTGGGCTACCTAACAATAGGCCTAGTTAGAGGATTTTCCTCGCCAGCAATCCCATCAATGGAATCAAACAATCCCGAACTCATACCACACCATCAAGCACTATCTTGGATTTGTGAGTATTACCTTTGATCAATTAGTTGTTTTAACTTTAAAATTCAAAATGTATGAGTAAAATAATGCTATAGTTGCTAAGTTTTTTTAATGTTGCTATAAATGCAGAGATTATTATTTTACTACATTTACATTTTTAGCTGCAGTACCCCCTTTGGGTGCTCTTGTAGGAAGTTTGTTTTCTGGTGCGATGATGCAGCATTTGGGAAGAAAAAGAACTCTGATAATTAGCTCCCCTATGTTTGCCGCATCTTGGCTTTTCATAGCTTACTCTACAGACTGGCTTCACCTAGTCACAGCAAGGGCTTTGACAGGCCTATGTGTCGGTATTGTACTACCTTCAGCACAAATTTATGTAAAATTCTTTTGATTTTCTCCACTTAGGATAGAAATTCATAATTCTCATTGCAGGTAAGCGAGTGCTCGCACCCAAAAATAAGAGGCATGGTCGGCTCATTTCCAGCGCTCTTCATGGCAGGTGGAATCCTTATGGCTTACATTCTTGGATCGTTTCTCCTCTGGAACCATCTGGCCATGGTTTCAGCAGCATTTCCTATAATTTTACTATTTTTGCTGATCCCATTGCCCGAATCGCCGACTTGGCTGAGGTGCAGGGGAAAGATGAAGGAAGCCGATCAAGCGATGTCCTGGTTGCACAGAGAGCCTTTTACTACCAATATTGAAATGTTTACGGTCAATTCTCCAAAAGAAGCTGTGACATCACTTCCAAAAAGCAAAAAGTGAGTTCATGTTAATTTGATGTAATGGATTCAAAGAAAAGCTACATATTTATGTTTTCTGAAAGTATAAATTGTGTGGTGAGGTCTGTGTAGTGAAGAACTGACAGATCATGATCATCAGATATGATAGAATAATGAAGTTCTATACTGCTTATCATTAGGTTGTTTTTAATCACTGTAATCTATCTATCATTGCATTTGGAACTTCAGACCTGTTTTTGCTTCTCACAATTTTCAGGGTAGTTCTGTGAACAAACTACAAGTTTATCACACTGCATACGCCAAGAGGAAATCCCATAATTTGTTCATCTATCTCCAATAATTATACAATCTCTCCATTGCCTTTTAAAGCAAAATTTTCAACTTATGCTTTAATTACAGTACAAATATTAATAATAGCAAATTTTAGCTCTATTTAATATTTTTATTACATTTTATTTATTACTGGAATTTTCAAATTTGTTTCAGATCCCTTGCACTATCAAAGGCAATTTTGAAAGGTAAATTTTCCAGAGAGACATTATTCCGAGGACCCGTCCTTCTGCCGTTTGGCTTAGTGATAGCAATTATGATTTTTCAGCAGATAAGCGGGATTGACTCGATAATTTTCTACACTGTTTCAATATTTCACATAAGCGGATCAACATTAGGGGAGTATGAAGCTACAATTTTTGTCGGCGCCGTTCAAGTCGTAGCAACGCTTCTTTCTCTTTTCCTGACTGATTGGTATGGGAGAAAAGTACTGCTGCTTATCTCCGGCAGCATAATGGCGATTGCCATGACAGCCTTAGGAACTTATTTTTATCTGTATGAAAGAGGTAGAGCGAATTCTTTCGGTCTCCTGCCTCTCCTCAGCCAGCTCGCCTTTATCACAGGATTTTCAATCGGGTTTTGCAACATACCTTTCATACTGATGGGGGAGCTCCTTCCAATAGCTCATCGGAGCTTCTTAAGCTCGATAGCAGGTGCTTGTAATCTCGGCGCTATGTTTCTTGTCATAAAAACATATCCAGACATTACTCAGTGGTTAGGACCAGAAGGCGCTTTCTGGATATATGCAGTACTATGCTTTACAAGCTGTATCTTTGTGCATTTTCTACTTCCTGAAACAAAAGGAAAGAGTTTGGAAGAAATCGAAGCATACTTTGAGAGTAGGTTCAAAGATAAGAAAGAAGATCCAGTCGCTCAAGTTGAACAAAACAAATAATCTAGTCTATATCTATATTTATGAAAACTTACGATTGGGCGTTATAAAAGATCCACAAAAGTTTGGAACTTTTTAACTCAATTGATAAACCATCTAAAATCTAAAGCAACTGATGCTAAAAAGATTTTAAGAACTTGGAAACATCAACCAGAGAATGCATTTATGTGATTCTGCTATCATTAGTAAATACTTTTGTTAGTGACATTTATTAGTGTATGGGGGTGTCGGTGGCCACAACGGTTAGGCGTTAACACGGCGCACATTACTGTATGGCAAAGGTTCCCGGTTCTAATCCAGCGGTCCTGCATTCAAACCCGACATACTTACAAATGGGCTTTTTTTCAAAAACACTGGCACCCCGAGGGTTGACATGACCTCTGCAGTTACAAACCCTCATAAAATTAAATTAAAAATTTTAAAAAAAGTTATTCGTATGAAAAAAGTACACTATGTGTACAAACCATAACATTAAAAAGTGTTGTGCATACTGTTAACTGTTTAATTTTGGTGTAGAAAAAAAAACAGTATAAATATTTTATTCATCACATTAGCAATTTTTGGAGCAGCATCATACTATGTAAAATTCTTCATTGTGGTATTTTTTATATATATTTTTTTTTTTAATTTGTGGTCTGTGTTTCTGTTCTAGTAGTAAATGTAATATACATATAATTATAACAATAAAGTGTAAATGCTTTTTTAAAATAAAGATTTTATAATTGTGTACTATCATTTTTAAAGTATTATGTCGAAATGGCTTAAAAGCATTTAAGATTTATATGATTTCTGTAGATCGTTTTTTATCTTACTGGTCTACGTACCCTCGTTTGTCATTTTGATATCATATATAATGACAGGCTGACTGAAAATGATTGAGAAACCATGATATTCAAAAACGACAACAACTACAAATTTAACTACTTTTTTAGGTTTGAACAATTCAAGGTCTACATTCATATCGTTATTCCCAAAATTTATAAGAAATTTTGTAGGCTGTGGGAATTTGCTTGATCTTTTAGATTAAACCTGCAATGTGCTAAATACATGTACCCACTAGGTTATAAAATATACAATATTTCAAAATTTACATGCTGTACAGAAGGATCTGGGACACCCGGTATAGTACAGATCTGTATATTACACATGTATTGTTTTGTGCCCACTTGTGTGTTGAGAGTAAATGTGTTTATTGGTGGGAATGTGTAGTGTGAGAGGGTCAATGGTGGAACATTGAGTACCCCATTGACTCTCAATTATATTACTTACATGATATGGGTGAAGGGTGATGGAGGAATATCAAATGCTCACTACCCTAACTGAGTGAATGGTATGTAAATAGGAAATAATGTGTTTAAGAGAGTGAGTGATTGGGTTTGAATTTACGAACTTATTGCATTGGAGGCTGAAATAACTGCTGTTGATAGCCCTTGGAGCCCAGGTAAGACCGAGGTCTGACCCCGGACTGCCAACACCTGGGGTGAATGATTTTCAAGGCCTGCTGGTAATTTAATGTAAATTACACAAAAGCTGGAATGCCAGCTGCAAGAAGTGACAGACACAACTCTGTACATTTGTATGTATGTATATTCATGTGCAGATTTGAGCTTATATAAATCAGCAATCTGTATTCCCACATACATTAAGATAAAGAAAATGTCTGAAATACTCAAATAGACACCAATAAAATTGGATATCAGTTTGTATCCAAGCACAATTTTACAATTTACTATTGGATTCAACAATATAATAAACCTAGTCTTTCTAATAATCCTTGCATGTTTAAATCTGGATAGACAACATTGAAGATGAAAAAATGCAAAATGTTTGAAATATAAATTGAACAGAATGAATATTAGATTGACTTTTATTAAAATGTTCAAAATTGTCTTTGAAAATGCAGTCCTGTCATGTTGGTGGCCATTCCAAAACACAACTACTGAACTTAATTTTTGCTCTTAATTTTCAATAGACAGTAATATTGTGCCAGAGTGGTGTTGTTGTCGCAAGGGCAGGACAGTTAGCTGATTACCTTGAAGCAATGCAATCTAGAAAAAGGCCAGTCCTGAAAGGGTTAATTTGTTCAGCCAGAAGTGTGCTGTCCAGTTTGTCCTTCCTGTAAGAATATGCTGGTCAGTGAGACCTTGCTGCTAACCCTCCATATCTTCTCCAACTTGGCCAGCTCAACACAACTCTCTTTAACTATGTTGTTGGGTATTTGCTGAACACAGGAATCAGTTCCTTAATAAGTAGAACTTGGCTTTTAAGTCCACCAGCTGGTTCATCAAAGGCCTTCACTTAATTAATTTTTGATGATTTCAAGAGTTAAGTAGTTTTAATGTGACACCACTTTCAGTTTTTAAGTACTATGTGATTGTTTTATCAAAACTTCTGTATTCATTAGGTAACCATTCCATAGCTTTCGATATAGGTACTTGCTCTGCTTGTTGAGCAGAAATCTTGTAGCCTGCACTGCTTTGTGCAATGTAACTTTAAATCAATAAATTGCAAGGCACAAAGGTTTATCGCACAAGGCCACATATTTTCCATTGGTAAATATATTTACGTCAGATTGGTCAGGTAGGTCTACCATTCTAATACAGATCTGAAGGGAAGAATAGATAATCTTCAGTGGAATGTCCCAACCTTCGAGGTTGAGACCTTCAAAGAAAGAATAACCCTTTCACTGATTATAGGATGCTGTGACTGCTTATCTTAATTTTAAAGTTATGGGAAAGATCCATATAAGTTGTGCTGCGATGAAGATGGAAAATGCCGAATGCATCTGACAGGCCAAACTAGCGATGGACAAAGTTATGTCCTACAATTCACATTGATAAACACGTTTGTACATTTCAGCCTGATGATGTGTATTTAATGCCTGAAATCCAAATAGCTGTTAAAACCAGTTTGTGAGTAGCACCATTCTTTCCAAATTGTGAATTGATACATGCCTCCTCAATTTTTTCTATCAAAGAGAAGTTCCGTTGCCTTCTTATTTTAGAGATTCATAAATCTCTTAGCTTTTCTCATATTTGGTGCTTTTGTTCAATGCTTGAGCTTTTCTTTCTCAGGAATTTTTCCAGTAGTTGTGGTTCTGGTCTTATGGAAGAGAGGGCTCTTCCTTTGGCTAGTTAGTCACCTATTCGTTTCCTTCTATATCCCTGTACCCACCTTAAGATAACCTTGCTGTGTTTTACTATTGGCCATTGGGCAATTTAAGCATTCCTAGATTAGTTTGGTCCTAAAAGCATATGCATTTAGGGTCTGTATAGCTGCTTGCCCAAAAGTATGTAGATTTGTCCACCTTTTAGCTTATCTGTACAGTTGAATTGAAGGGAGAGTCCAAGTTTTAAAAGGTGTAATTCAGTTCCTTTGACATTACTAGTGTACCATATTAGGGCCCCTTCTTGAAACTTGAGGTTGCTTTTCTTCCAGCGTCTGTTATCTTTGACCACTTTAATAGGTCTGTCAAAGTTGAGCTTTCCTCGTATTTTGTTATGTACCATTATAGCCATCTCATTTAATTCTTTCTTGAATATCATGATGTTTCTCTTTAGATCTGGTTTTATTTTATTTTTTATAAGTCAGGAGTCTTGCACTATCCAAAGTTACTTTTTATACATGAATGTGTAAGAGTCAGAGATCAAGAGTGGTTTTCATCCCTGTTGTGGGACAAGTATGCATCACCCCTGTTCTGCTGACACACTTGCCTTTGTATACTTTGCAGTTTGTTTTGTGTCTCATTATGCCGTTTTTGGCCACCATACTAAAACTGTGTTTCCAGGGGACTGACCATTGTAGTGGGAAACTAATATGCCATCCTAGGATTTATTTTCCTGCTTCCTTAATGCCTACTAGTGCCTTGGTCTTATGTCGTATGTTGCCAATATAACATATATATGGTCAACGGTTATACATATGTACTTTTTCTTCTTTTTTTAGATAAAGTTAAGGCTTCGTATTTATTGTGGCTATTTTTTGGCTTAGCTTCCTTCTTCTTGTTGAGGTTATGGAAGATGTTTTCTTAGGGTTAATATTTAAGGTGATATTCTCACATCATTTGAATTTCATCAAATTTTCCTTTTATGCTTGTTAGCAGGTCATCTGAGTGTAGGGTGTGGGCAATGTCCCTAGATTTGATACTTTGGTAGGCACATTGTTAGTGAGGGAGATTTTTACACAAGTTATTTAATCTCTTGACCTATATTTTCATTATTTCTTGGACAAAGGAAGTTAGGATTATTGGCCATACTCCTTTTGCCGAATCTAAGGTGCGACCTTCTTCTTTTGACATGAATTGTATGCTATTTCATAGCTGGCGCTAAAAATCTAGTTTAATATAGCTGTGTAGTAAAGACTTGCACTACTAATCAATATCCAATGATTATTAAATTTCATTTTGACAAATTGGTTAACCAAAACTTGAAATTTAAAATCGGGAGGGAACGTCGGACGTACTATCGCCCCTTGTCAACCCTGGCAGGATAACCTTCAGTCGGCCATGGTTTGTTAATCGCGTACAGTGATGGAAAAAGTGATCATTATTCGTGCCTGAGACTGACTAAAGACGGTAAAAACTGTAAATCGCCCTTTATTATAAGCCATTCTGGGCTCTTCCAGTCCGGCCAGAGCGAAAAAAATCTAAAAGGTAAATTATCTCTCGTTCAAAACATTCGGTCGATATGGCTACTCTGATAAAATATATCTAGTTAAACAGTATTTTTACTCATAAATGCACGTATTTTAGCCTTGTTTAAACAGATTATTGCTTTTTTCAGTACATTTTTATATTTTATACAGGTTTTTTTGTTAATAAATACTTGCAATTGTCAGCCACTTGTCAAAACGGAAGGTAACACCGCTGTTACATACAATAACAGTGATTTGTTTTTGTTTTGTTAGGTTTTATCTTTATTAAATATTAATTAATTGCCATTGGATACATTATTATAATTATAGATAGTTTAGTTTCTTCCTGTTGGTTTTCTTTAAAATTTCTTAACAATTACGAAATAATAATTTTTGTTTAACATCGTTGATGTTCCTTTTATATTAATTATTATTAGGTAAATTTATAATTTAACTATTGATAATAATAGTGGGACTGTAAGTTATTTTATTGTTTAAAAGGAATGCTGCTTAAAATAGTATTGATTTATTTTTATGAGCTCTCCCCCCACCTTTCTACATCGATGCTTGCTTGCAAGAGCAGTGCCAGTATTGATCTTGCTTGCCAGTATGTGAAGTAATAAAGATTTTAAATCAATCATTTTATGATTTAATATGTTTTTTTGAACAAGGTAGAGTTATTAGATATTTATTTGATTGTTGTTGTAATTAGACAGATAGGTATGTTCATTGTAGATTAAATAAACATTTTTCCTTTTTAAGAAAATTGTTAAAAAAGTTTTGAATTGAATTGAAACAAACGAGTCTCCAGGAGACTCGAGGACCTTTTAAGCGTTATGCTCGATGTTTTTCAAAAGGGGAGGGGAATTGGGGTGGATGATTTTTTGTCGTTGTCGCACGTAATGGCGGCGGACACGCATACGCAGCAGCGACGGAGTGCCAGGGCCTCCGGCCGCCACCATGACAGCAGGATTCGTCGGTGGGCCGCAGATGCGAGCGTGGAGGGACAAGGAAGCGCGCGCGCACCCTCGGCCCGATTGGACGAGAATGGCCCCGCCCCTGGCACTCGGAAGGGCGCATGCTCACCTTACGTCACGACCCTGGCCACGCCTAAAATAGCCGCGTTCCCGAGTGACTTGTACTTCGGCGAGGCATCCTGCCCTTTAACATTGAATCCTTCAAATTCCTGTCCAAGGGTCCTCGGAATTATAAGCACTGTTGAACTAGTCTTCTTCGGTTTGTTCCATTTTGAATTTGGATTTTGGAAAATGTAACCAAGCGTCAATCAGATTTTAAGAACTCAAAAAAGATCGTCCTTATAATCCAAAGATATCTTGAGCCTAAAGAAAAAAAAATTCTACATTCGAATAAAGAAAGGGCCTTAAGACTCAAAAATTCTTGCTTAAGCGTTATTTTGCTACAGCTAAAGCTATATAATTAACTAATAATTAAACAAACAAAAAATAAATTTATTAATGTCGAAAGATTTAGGCATTTCTTCCCAAAGATCGTCCTCAATAAAAAAAACAATTTCTTGGAAATTTATTTTTGTACTGAATTAAATTTTTTGTAAAAATATAACGTCGCTTAGCAATTTAAGGATCGTTCTTAATATTCCAAAGATCATCATCAAAATTGATAACCTCTTTCTTTGATATTTCGTAAAAATATAAGAATTGTTAAGCTGCTAAAAATTCCAATGTAATGGTCGTTTTTAATATTCCCAAGATCATCATCAAAATTGACATAATATATAACTTAACCTTTTAATGTAATATAAATATCGTAATGAATATTACAAGTAAAGCCATCCATCTACTTAAAATTCCAACGTAAGGATCGTCCTTAATATCCACATCATTTTCATCCTCAACATCAATATTGATATAGATATCAAGATAACTTCTTTGTATGAAATTTTGTAAAAATGTAACTTGCAATGTTAAGCTATCCAACATAAGAAAAGTCCTTTATATTCCCAAGATCGTCAACATCATCATCGACATCAAAATTGATAAATATAATATAACCTCTTTGTATGGAATCTGAATAATATGGCAAGAAAAATCATCCATGTACTTAAATTTCCTACGTAAGAATCGTCCATAATATTCCCAACATCATCATCATCAAAATTGATGTACATTATATAACCTCTTTCTTTGAAATTTTGTAAAAATAAATCTTGAATTGCCGTTAAGCTACTAAAAATTCCTACAAGGATCGTCTTTAATATTCCCAAGATCATCATCAAAATTGATATATATAATATAATCACATTCTATGAAATCTTTTAATAATTTGACAAGAAAACTCATCATCAAAATTGGCATAAATAATGTAACTTGTTTTCTATGAAATCTTTTAATAATTTGACAAGAAAACACAACATTATCATCATCAAAATTGACATATATAATATAACTACATTCTATGAAATCTTTTAATAATTTAACAAGAAAACGCATCATTATCATCATCAAAATTGACATATGTTATATAACTACTTTCTACGAAATCTTTTAATAATTTGACAAGAAAACGCATCATTATCATCATCAAAATTGACATATATAATATAACTACATTCTATGAAATCTTTTAATAATTTAAAATCATCTATCTACTTTAAATTCTTACTCGAGGATCTTCCTTAATGTTACCAACATCATCATCAAATTTAATGTACATAATATAACCTCTTTCTATGAAAACCTATAAAAATTACTTGCGTTGAATGTCATAAGAATTAACCCTAAATATCATCCTTATCTGGTATATACGTGTGTCATAATTATATATATTTATTTATTTTATAATANATATATATATATATATATATATATATATGTCATTCAGTTACTTCAAATTCGAACAAAGATCGTCCTTTATCCCTAAAATCGTCATGCTAAGCCCAAAGAAAGACGTTGCAACAACAGAATAAAGAAAGTGCTTGGTGTTCCACCACTTTAAGTTAAGCCTAAGGACTATTTTACATAAGTGGCAACAATAATTAATTAAACAAATAAACTAATAAAAAACCTTTTTTTTAATGGTTGTTAAAGTTATTTTAGTTAAAGTAATTAAGGAAAGTTGTAAGCATTTATTCCTTGAGATCGTACGAAATCGAAAGAATATTTATATTTAACCACTTTCTAAATAAGTTATTTTGTTTTTCGCTGAATTGATATTGTTTAACAATATGGCAAGGAATGTTTCCTTCATAGCTAAATATAAAACTAAACTAAATTAATTTATTAGTATTTCGTATCGACGTTCATACTAAATAACATTTACAAAATTCAAATGATCGTTCTTAGATTCCAAATATGTATCACCTTATGCCCAAAATAAAGACGTGACAACAGTAGAACAAATATAGAGCCCCAATGCCCAACAATTCAAGTATGTATAAGAATTGAAAGCTTTATGTATTTCTTTGCAAAAATTGATAAACATATAATCGAACAACTTTCTATGAAATTTTGTTTCGTGCTGTCATATCGTTGTAGCAGCATGATAAAAAAAGTGTTACAAAATCGAAAAATTCCAGCCCAATTTATTTCTTATATGTATTTCAAAAACCATTGAAATTCCTGTTTTAATATTTAAATTGAAACAAACAACATTAAAACGTTTTATATCACCAGTTGTTTATGTGACTTCGTAAAATATGTACGACATAGCAAGTCATTTAAGTACGTTAAATTCCAAATCACCGTATAAGTCAAAATAATATTCTTATTCAACAAGAAGTACATAACAACAATGGAATCCCTGGGCTCAGCAGTAGACAAATTGATTTAAAGGTTATAACCTTAAGAAATACACAGGTCTTGTCCTACTGGGTGCAGATAGAAAAGACGTTGATTGCACTCCGCAGTTTTCTTTCATCCCCTGTCGCTCCGCAGCTTCTGCAAGGCCCCATACTGGGTCCCACATTATTCTCCATATTTGTAAACCTTGTCAAAACGCAAGTTCTGCCAAAAAGTGCTGTATGCTGATGGCATTGCCTTCTACTTCTCCTTTTGAAGGATAAGTGCTATAGCAAGAAATTTAAACTCGTGCGATTAAAGCGCTACTGCGCTGGTTGAAGTTACTGATGGAAGTTGAAAATTAACATTCTTAAAACTAACTGCAGCCTCTTGATAAACCGGAAGTCCTTGATCTCCCACAATTTATCTATCGAGGAAACAAGTGTCGATTGGTACAGGACGATATCATAGCAGGGGAAAAATTGAATTTCATCGTTTATACACTGGAAGACACAAATAAATCAGACACTTGTATTTACTTGTTTATTTTCCATAATACGTAGGTATAAAGACTGTATGGTTGAACTCGTAATCTTTTTATACTCTTCAGATTAAAAATAAAGAAAATCAGTTCAATTCTTCCTTTCCACAGCCAACTTGTCGAGTGTCTTAATTGTTTTTTCTTCAAAGATAAGGTAGTGATTTAACGGCTTTTTTGGTAGGTGTCAACTCATTAGTCCGTAATGTAAGGATGAGATCTAAAATAGTCATCAAAAAGCTTCGTGAGCATAGCTTAGGCTCTAGACGTCCAGCATCAGATTCTCTACTTCTGGAGAGGCATCGAGTAGACAGGCGATTAGTTGCAAATCAGCATCTCGCATGGGCATTCGAACAATGGGGGTTATTCTTTTCACAGATTAGTGCCGGTTTGATTAGTGGCAATCAGATGACCAGGACCATGTGTGGAGAAGGCGTGAAGAACGCTCTGCTGCGTGAATCACAGCCTTTTCAAAGACAGTCGGTTATGGTACGGGGTTGAATCAACGTCCATGCCCGTTAATGCATGGTAAACCGCATGTTGCTCGAGTTGTCACCCATTACTCGGAGGATGTAGGAATCACACGATGAATTAGCTAGCTCTACTGACATTAATCCTATAGGACACTTGCGGGGCACGATAGACATTATAATTAAATATTTTTTATTAAAACTCATGATTTTCTTATCCCATTTAATTAGGATTACATTAAAATTAATGTTGTAA